TATAGTTGTACTGCAGATCTGCTTTATTTCCGTCCTACTATGTAAACTTGTATTGATTAGTATTCTTTGACGAAGTGGCTTACACTTTCGAAATTTTACAAATGTATTACTTTTGTTATAAAGTCTTCTGTGACCATATAAATTGTATACTCGAATTTCATAGTAAAGCTTCATCTATATATCCAGAGTCTTATCTAATCTGATATCTGCTATATCAGGGAGAAGATAAGATGAATGGTAACTCCCAGGACTGAATAATGGATCGCGATTAATGAAATACTGTTGTGTGATCTATCATTCCTAATTTATTTCCATTTTGTCATTCACAAACTCCCCTATTCACAGCCACTTTTATATCGATTATGTATTTAGATATTTTTTCGTTCTGTCGTGTAATGCGGTCTGGTATGTTTGCATATAAACTATGTCTGCTTAAAATAACGGATTTTGTGGAGGCTGGCTACGGACTTCTTTACTATGAGCCAGTGTAAAGCGAAATACATTATCGCATTGTGGACCAATAAGGATTTAGAGCTGACTCAACGTTTCTGCTGCCAACGCGATTTCAATTGTGTTGTGTTTGTCACGTGATATTGATTAAAGGTTAAGCACACAACAATATCCAAGCTTCTTATGCAGTTTAAACAGGTAGATAGTTAGTTTCCGGTAACTCTATATCTGAATCTTCATCTGAACTTCGTTTTATTTCCTGGTTTATGATCACTTGCTTATAATAATGTGTATGTAACAAGGTGTAACATTCAGTTTCTCTTTGTGTATGATAACATACATACCTGAATGTGACACTTTATTATATATGGTGGTTGTAAGCAGCTGATGAGAAACCATTGAATATAATCAGTTCGTATTATTCTGTCTTAACTGTTATTATGACTTTATTCATACTATACCTGACGTAACAACATTTCTATCAGGATCATAGAGACACATCTTGACAATGATTCAAATTATATTCGATACTATCAAAACCGAATTTAAATATCTACACTTATAGTTTGATGTATTGTATGAATCCATGACATGAATTGTTCTTACACTGTATATTTAATATTGTCATCATCATCAATTGGCTTCTATAATTTTTTTGTTGGTTTCGTTACTGACGTTGTTTAACAAATATGTTGTCATTTTATTTAATTACGTAGCGAATTTATTTAACTAGTACGTTTTAAAGAATGATTAGTGCTTGGGTGTCTCATGTTTGTGTGTTGTCAATCGATAAGTATCTGTACAGTGTATTGGGTATTCGCCTCTGTTAATTATCATTCAGATTTATTTTTAAAATTTATCTTTGACTGTATGGTATACCCATGTGACTGGTTGAGCGAAATTATCGTTTATGAAATAAAAATTATGTTTAATTTAAATGGTATTCCAATAACAGAGTTCAAATAATAACATCAATGTCAGATAATTACAAATTTATATATATATATATATATATATATATATATATATATATATATATATGCTTTATTTCTGTGAAATTAAATAACAGAATTCCTTATTTTCTTTTCTAATAGTAATTTTACCTTTATGATCTTGTGTGTGGTGTGTGTTTGTAGGTATTCAGTCAATCTCATCATAGTTCACTGATTTGAATCAACGATAGCATACTAAATATTTTTTAATTGAAATGGAGTAATCTAATTCATCCATTACTTTGTTCTCATGATTATCATTAACATTCTTTTTTTCTAAAATAACTATCATTGTATTTCTGTTGATCAAACATGAAGTATGATATAGTGTAGTCAGTATGTAGTTCTAACAATGTGAATAATTGACTTTTCATCACTGGTTTTGTAATGAGCTGTAGTTCAGTTGTTAAGGCGTTCGACTTTCAGTTATAAATTCCCAAGTTTAAACATTATTGTACCTTATTTTGGTTTCCTTAACAAGGTGGTGTCACTAGACCCCAGACTTAGATTGTGACTTGAAACCACTTACACTGATCTGTATTTCTTCATAGTTCATAAAAAAAACTACTGTTTAACAGATTAAAATTTACACAATCAACTGTACTATTCTACAGCATAGCTTATAGCTTAATTCATAAATATATTTCAATGTATTTATTATAGAGTTACCTATTAATTTCACTTTCTTTCTCATTTTACTTAGATTTTTTTAATAATTCTTTTTAATCTCCTATGCAGTATAGATTATTCATTTAGTATTATCATTACACTTTTCTATACTCTGAACGTTTTTGTTAGGAGTTAGACCTAGGAATAATAGGATTGTTAGGCAATACTATTACAGAGATAAACAAAACAATCAATAAACATTTCACTGTTATGTTTTGTGATATTCAATAAATGTAGCAGGTGAATTGAGATATTGTTATGTAATAATAATGTAGGTGTGCATCACGCTGTATAGTTTTACAACATAATTGTATATAAATAATCTGTTTATTGTTACATCATAAATATTACTGGAATGCAGCATAATCATGTGTGAAGTATTCCGTGTTGATTTCTAACTTGTACTGATAACTAATGTAAATCTATTTTGTTCAACATTTTGAATGGGCAAAGTTTCTGAAGGGATTAAAATTCACTTGATAAATAGTCTAATTAGTATCTCATCTCATTCGTACATGCATGTTTTCCTACTACTTTCACTATCTTATAAATTATTTGTACGACTTAAAACTTCATCTATGTAAATTCAATTTTGTTTATTGGTCGATATCAATCTAATTATTCATTGATTGTCATTTGAAATGAATAGGATTTCTCGGTTGCTTGAATTTCATCAATATAAAATAATATTTATTTGGATTTTATTTAAATAATGCATAAACAACACTGAATACTTTCAGTAATGATAATGGTAATCATAACAACAGAGAAAAATGTGATCTTTTCTCATCTGCTCTTATTGCTACTTTTTTTTATACGTCTGTGTTACGCATTCATGTAAACATGTCGTTTGATAGGCTTGAATTATTCCGAGTTTACCTTAGTCGGAAAACGAGAGCGAGGATCCGGCAACACGACAGGCTATTCTAATCCGATTGTCCCAAACCCCCATTGAATAAAAGAGAAAGACTTGATATGAAGTAGAACGTGTATTCTGCAAGCATTCAGGAAGTACGAGGTCTGAGTCTAGAGGAGAATCAGGATCCCGGACGAGGGATCCGGGTCCGGGTCATAAGACGTTGCAGATAATGCATATTTATACAGTTGGGTCGAATATGAAACAACATTAAAGTCTTTGACATTGATAATCAGGATGACCAATGGGAAACAACATTGAAGTACGTGACATTGTATAGCTAGGACGGCCATAATATTGACCAGTAGGAATTGACTAATAGAATTAGACTTACATAAATAATTCTCTTGGGATATTTGATGAATATACTAACAGTCTGAATGCTTGTTTACGCTTTCTTTTTTTTCTCTCCGTTTCTTTATAACGATAATAATAATATTACTGATACTGCTATTACGACTATTATGAAAAAAACCTTTAATTGTAAGTGTAGACTAATTAGCCATATACTGGCATTGCTAATATAAGTCTAATTAAATTTTAATTTACAAAAGAATTCACATACAAATTATTTATAATATTGTTTTTTAATCAGTCTGGATTGGTTTATATTAAGCTAAAAATATAACTATATTAACCTTGAGTCATTGATACATAACAGCTTTCTAATTGATCAGTTTATTTTTTTGTATGTTATGAAGCATAGGTTATGCTTTTTTTTCGCCGCTTATTGTTTTATTAACTTAAATGTCAAATGCGTTGACTAAATTCCTCTTAGACTCTTTTTGATATGTTCGTGCAACCAGATTGCTTCTTTCATGCCAGCTAACTAGAATGAAAAGTTTCATAAAAGTGTTTTTTGATAGAGACATCAGAGGGAATATGTGATATGGCATGCTCATTTACAAGATATGAGTGCAAAATAACTGTGATATGATGTCACAGAAAATTGCGAAATAATTAATTTACAAGTCTTTCATTCTGCAGTCAATGAAAGCCTGATTGCTAAGCTTAGTTCTTGCACTTCCAATCACTCCTTGAATACTCAAAACTGAATCTCAGAGCTTACGGCATATTATCATTCAAAACTGACTAAGTCAACTAATTCTCTATATAACTATTTACCTTTCCCGTTTTTATTTAATTTGACAGTGTATATTCTGTTAACAATAACTCTATGTTTATTTGAAACTTGTTTTACCCATGTTAATCGAAGAACACTATTATTTTATCAGCTAACAACTTAAAATTAATAAATCCAACCGTAGTGTTAAGGTGCTATCAAAATAAAATATGATACTCTTTAACTCATTGTAAATCTGATTGATAGCCAATATAGTTGTATTGTTTTTACGCTAGGTTATTAGGATATTTTTGTTAATTTTGTTGCATTGTGAGATGGGTGAATTTAAAAGCACGAACTATTATCATTGTCGTTATTTGTGCTCAACAAGACTTTGAACATCCTACACTTGATTCCATGTCAGGTTTTAGATTTGTTACACTGATTGTGAATTCGAGATCGAGGTGTCATAGATATTCAACTCACCTTGGCTTAAGTACTTGAAAGTAGTTGACATGGGATCCTGAACCTGGTTTTCGTGCTATTTAGCATTTTTCTACAAGGCGTATCTATAATTTTGAGGGGATCGGTGCTCCTTGGCGCATTCGAAATTGTCACCCAGTCATACAGACACATTAGCACTGAGTTATTCGGGTTGCATCTGACCTCTAATATACATGAAGTTTAGTCACTTAGCCTTGTTGCCACCGTACAACTCGATCGATAGAATTTTATCAGCAACAAAGGACTAAATTCATATGATATTGTTTGGTACGCAGTAATCAATCAATTGTGAGTTTACCTTGGTTTTCGTGGGTATTTCGACAGATATATATATATATATATATATATATATATATCTTTTACATTGCCGCCGTATATATTTTCTCTTATTATTTATTTCACCTAGTCGATACAATAGATTCAATGGTACAAACAGAAAACAGTTGTTTTTTCAATTCAATACTTACTCCGTCTGTCAGATTATCTGCTTTAAATATGGTCAATAGTGCCCTTCAGAGAATAGGAGTAAGTTTTAAAGACTATAATATGCATTAATAATATTAATTAAGCTACAACTTCGTCACATGTATATGTATGTTTGTGTGTGCCTGTGTATATTTTTCTGCGATCATGGATGCCGACATACAGGTTTATATACTTTAAGTTTTGTTAACATCCAAGTCGGTAAATGTTAATCGTTATTGTTTTTCCGAATTACTTCATGTTTGAACCAGTTAGTTTTAATAAACAGAAAACGCTGAAAAGCTGTTTCATCTTATTTGTGGGACCCCTCAGCAATGTGTATCCTCGGCCTTTCAACCGGGTGTTAAATCCAGAATATTCGGCCTCGTACTCTAACGCTTGACTTCGAGACCTATACGCCAGGATCCAGCGGTGTACATGGCCAACTCCACTAATTTGACGATATTTTTGAGCCATCTTCCATTTCTTAAGTTTGTAGTACCTATAACATTCTTAATAGGCTGCGTTCAATTCGAAGTAGGGCTCATCACTCTAGCGACCCGCGATCTAACTCCTTTTCGAGCGGACAACTGAGTATGCTGTGAAATAAACCTCTTCCATTTCCGTATATCAGACTTAGGCGAACCCGTTTGTATGACGGCGGTAAGAAGAAGCCAAATACGTATTCAGTTGCAGTGACTTTATTTCAAGCAATTGTTCATGCTGATAGAGATGAGAATACCAAGTGAAATTGCAAAGTTAGTCGGAGTAGGCGAGTGGGCCAACTCAATGTGATGAGACATGAATAAGTACTTCTAGTGGGAAAGAAATAAGTTAGACAGGCGATAAGCTAAATTAGCGTGCACACACACTCGAATAAAAACGACCAAGATATGAGCGAACGATTGACAAGGTCAAAAGACGAACACATACTAACTCGGGCTAAAAAGGTTAATTAGTTTTTTCGATAGCTGGGCTCAACATATTACTGCACAGACTACACATTTCATAACCTTCACAAATCTCTAAAGTGATAATTTCAATGGGGTTTTATTTTGTTCTCCTTCTTTATCTCATTAGCAATTAGAAATGAAATTATCAATGTTATATCAAACATATGGTCATCCTCCACTTTCTGCACCTGTCTACAGTAGTAATTGTAGTAGTATTAATAATGTTGTACAATCTCCATCATCTGGTTTAGAATCAAAACGATACAACTCAAAATCATCACAAAAATTGTCTAATCCAGGTTGGACAAATGGTCCTCTTAAATTGTAAGTACTATTAATACGTGTGTTAATATGTACATTTTATTTTGAATAATAACCATAAAATAATTGTAATTTTTGTGATATCCCAATGGTTAGACAATCTTACCTTTAGTGACCTAACGTAGGTTACTTCTTCAGAGTAAATTGATTAAAAGGTAATGACTTGCATCAAGTCACGACACGTCAGAAATACCAGTTTCTAACCAGTGGAATTTCACCACAAACTATAATTATTGTATTATTATTAACTTTCCACTAAATGCTCAGTTTATTCGTAACTGTCAAGTAGAACTTTGGTATGGATACCTACAGACTCGTTGTCGTTTTCTTCTTGATTTGTACATAGTGAGGTCCATTCAATATTATTTGTTGTTGGTAGTAATGTGGATGTATTTTTATAATAGTGCACTGTAGGTAATCGAAACCTTTCTGTTCAAAACATCCCTATTATATATTGTTGGTTGTCTTTACTAATTTGAATCAACAGTCAAAACAATAAGTGAGGTAGAATGCTTTCATCATTCTTCTAAACAATATCATCAGCACAAACGTTAGGTAGAAATGAAGTATTCGAATTTCTCCACTTATAACTAACAGCTTGTCCTGTTGACCTCTATCTGGATTAATTATTGTTGACTTTTAACCTACTTTTTTGTTTGCATTGCATCACCCTTTGATCCGATTATCAGTTCAATATTTGTTCATAACTTTTATGATTGGCTGATAAACTGAATCGATTTCGATGTGTTTATTGGTTGTTAATTGAAAATTCTCTTACGTTCACAGTATTTAACGTTTTTGCAGTCGAATGTGTGAAACAAAAATGTTTATATAACGGTTATGATTCATGCGTAAATCAAGCCATCATGGGTAAACAGAATTGATAATATGTGTCTGCTGACTTGTCAACTAGAATATATGCAAACAGTTTAGTGACTTTATTTAGTCATTTAATTTACTCTGACTAGAGATACATAAGCGGTTACGTACAAACGAAAAAAAATACATTAATAAACAGTATTAGTTCATCTTGCGAATATCTATCAACTGACTAGTAAGATTAAAATAGATCTAACACATAACTGATCTGGTTTTTGATCTCGTTACGTCAAGGTAGATTTTGGTTAGATGTTCAGTAAAATGGGTTATTACATTCGGATCTAAGTCATGGCATTTAAGTAACTGTGTCTTAAATTTATTATTGACTCTTGTTCTCGCTTTGATAAACAATTTTCATACTTTACCTCTTTGTACTCCTCAAACGTACCACCCGATAGCACCAATACTTTTAAAAAAGATATAATCGGTTATTACCGTTTTACGATAGATATAAAGACCAATAATTTGTGCAGTGATTCTCTTTTTAGCAATAGTGAGCCGTAATAATTTCTCTATCGCTAATTTGAATCTATCTAGGTGTGGACCTAGATATATTAAGCACGTAGTTCGATTATACTAAAACCATTCCTTACTTATTTAACAATGATACTCAAAATTTATCGTCATGATTAATTACTGAGTAATGACAATCCAATGCGCTCCAAGTTGCTCTGATTTTGTTATTTAAGCTTTCAACCAACAGAATCACCAATCATTTGGGTTTGGGTTAGGTTTATAATTTGGTCATAACAGCTAACATTATTCTGATAACTCACTGGTTAGATTTTATATAATTCATATGTAAATAAGATTGTTATCTCGTCCATATTTTCCCTTGAATTTACAACATCGTGATTTTACAAAAATTAGCTTTGCGTGAATGTACAAGGCTATCGGGTTGTTAATAACGTGAATTTTATAATGGACTTTCCGAATATGTATTGAATTATTATGTGTAAGATTACGTTATTCACACTGAACTAACTAAATTTGGCTTGTTGTTTAACTCGGAATTTATTCAAAGTTATTTCCATTTTCTTCATCCAGAAAACTAATTTGTACCATTGATTTTCATGTCCGAGGGGGAAAGGCTAAAGTCAGATTACGAAATATCTCTAATATTATATTCTTATTATATATTTTTCTTAAATATAATCGCTTTATTCCTTTCTTTGTAAGCACATCGTACAATCAGTTCTCTTGTTCGCATTACTGAACAGGTGTTTTATTCACTTTCAAAACCCATCATCTTGTGATTATAAATTGATCGTAAACATGTTTCCTTTCCCTTCAAATCCCCCTTAGTTCTATTTTACTGTGTGTGTGTGTATAGTGTGAACTTGTGATCTGTTATGTTTATCATAATAATCAGTATAGGTCACATATCTTACCTTAAAAATCAATGTTAAAAGTATCAAAAACATCTACATAATAGTACTTACTCTCTTTAGTCTTATATTTTTATAGTAAATTATCTATATTTATATCTCGCACTTTGATCCTTTGCATTTTTCCATTCTTATTCATTCTAAATTTGATCTAAACTATGAAATACGTTAATTAGTAAACGATAGAAATTCTTTTGTGTATTTTGTTTTTACGAGAGAGCACAGTTTGATCTTTTTTAGTATTCAATAAATTAAGAAGTAAAAAATAAATTTTTATATTTCTTTAAAAATAATGTAGACTATTATGTAAACTATATAAAACTGAAAAATGTTTCATGGTATTAATTGGACAGATGTGATGTAAAGCATCCTAGTAGAGAAGAATTTATTTTGAACAAAGTCTTTTCAATTCTCTACGCATTACTACTGAATGCTGTAGTCTGTCACGTCATTAAGCTTGACCCCCGAGTATGCAGAAAGTGGTTATGACTAGGTAGGAAGTTTACTTAACTTTAAGTATTTGAATGCTCGTTATTGTGTGAGGATTTATTGTAAAATGTCATATTAGTTAGCTTTGCTGATCTGTATGTATCACAGATATCTAAATTTTACATTTACGTCTAATATTTTCATCAAGCTTCTAAAGTTATATCTTTTCCTTCAATTCCCTAAGAGTTCGTTTATTTAAAGATCACTTGATTACATATGAGCTACACAGCAGTTTACTTTGCTGTAATTTACTTCTATTATATTTATAAAAGTTAGCTATTTTATGTTCTTTTCTTATTACTTGCAACTAATTGATCACTGACTATTAACCAATGTCATGTCATTCTTTGTAACAGTCATCCCATTCAGTAAGCAATTCATTTTAAATATATCTCATTCCTACATGAGAACAGTCGCGGCCCCAGCAGCTCAATGCTGACGTCTTAGAATGTGAAACTAGATGAGATGGGACCGAATCCGATAGGAAGTACCAATCCCTTCAAGATTTCAGGCATACCTTGCGAACGATTAGCAAATGCACACACTTCCAGTCACCACCACCTTCTTTATATGTATTAGAACCACTGAGTTAATCGTTTTGAGCTAAATTCTAGGGTATTAAATCAATAGAGTGAACTTAGAATGATATCTTAACTTATTGACACATTGTCCATATTGATTTACCATTCGTCACTCGAAGCATAAGTGTTTGTCACAAGAAAATTTAGTTTTATCACAGGAACACATGCCTCTAGTTTTCGAATCCACTTATCATTAAATAGAAATTTTCTAGAGGACTGGTCTTATTAATCATTTCGAAAGTTAAAGTAATTTGTTACATTTCTTACGTGACACACCTGACATTGCTATTTTTTCTTATCCGTCTCAAATGCCACTAAATAGTTGTTGATATCATTTTAGTCATGTACGTCAGTTTAATAGCATACGCGAATTCAATCAACCGATTATATTTCGAAACTTTTATTAATATTCAATACTACTACTTTTAATCCAAAAGTATATTAGGTACAAATCGATAATGAACTCATGAAATTATAGTTCATAGTCAATTGTTTAGACTACCTACCACTGGTTTAACATCTCAAGATATTATTGATTTATCATTGGTTATTGTTAGTTCATAGTGTCTGGTCATTAAAATCTAATCCCTTTTGAAAAAACGATGCTTATATATACTCCATTGGAAATTTCTAATATTGCTTAACAAATGACCTATTAAAAATCCCTATTCTATTATTTAAATGTGACTAAGAATTAATTGTATTTGGTAATGGAACTCTGCTTACTTGTTTTTTTCTCCTTTCTTCTCTACAGAGATCTTCATCCAACTGTGGAAAAGTCATCACGAGAAAATGCTGTACATCTTGTTCATTGACATTAAATTATATTGTAATATATATAAATATATAAATTGCAAAGAAATTCATTCAATTTGTATTTCTATACATTATTATACTAATTATTAAATGACAATATTATTATTATTATTATTGTATGTAATGGACACTGTGTTTCTTATTGTATTTGTGAATAATTTCTATTTTGATAAAGTTAAAAAAAAACAACACAAAAAGACGAAGGTGCATTTCATCAATTTTCCATTTTTAATCCAGAATCCTTTATTACTATTATTGTTATTGTTATTATTGTTAATATTATTGTTATTGTACAATGTAATACTCTGAAAAATACTCTACAAATCTTATACAACAAAAATAATCTTTCTTTTTTTTTCTACATCAACCAGGGTTCTCACAATTTTCATCTTGTTCCAGCTCAATTTTGTCACAAACACACTCTCTCTCTTCTTCTCTACGGTTTTGTTAACTTGTCATTGAGTAATGAATGCATTCAACTAAAGTCTGTGCTATTTATTCTCTCTCTCTCTCTATTTGTATGTATATCTACTATTTTCTTATTGTTTCTTTTCAATTCAACATACACTGTAAGCAAATATGTTTTCCTTTACAATACATATTCCACATGTCAAGTATCTATTTATGTCATTGCGTTGAATAAACCAATTTATGCCAATATTATAAAAGTGTAGTAAAGAAAATTTTTTATTCACAAGATGGATTTGATTATCATATTTCATTATTTTGCATTCATTCTCATTCATTTGTATTTATTACATTTTATCATAATTTATGTTGAATAGTTTTCTTGCACATATACACACGTTTATTGTTTCTTTGTCACAATGGTATCTATCTATCTATATATGTGTATGTATACAATCGAGTAACAATTGGAAAGAAGTAAGCGAAATCTTCATTTATTCTTTATCTTTCTTTTTTTTTTAAAAAAAAACAAATTCATTTTATTCCTTGTATAATAGTAATTATTTATTCCCGATTTTTTTTTTAAAAAAAAACATTTTCTCTTCTTCTCTCTGATCCTGCATGTTTCATATTTTTTTTCCTTTTTTTTTATTTTTGAAAAAAAACCCATACATCACCTCTTTTTTAAGTTTTTATCCCTCAAATTTTTTATTTTATTTTAATTTTTTTTCTTCTGTAACTATCAAATCAAAAACCAATTTTACTTTCATAACATTTATTATCATCCCTTTTTTTTTACTGATTGATTGATTGAACGAAAAAAAAAATCGAAAACAAACAAACTATTTATTATTTTTATTCCTGTATTTTTTTTGCAATTGTACAATCTATTTATTATGAATAGAATTTTCTTTCTTTCTCTCCTTCTTTGTTTCTTTCTACTTTTTATTTTTTATTTTTTCAAAATGTATGCCCTAAATAGTGGTTTCATTGTTATTGTAATCACTTAAAAAAAATTGTCCAACCTAACAGAGTCATTTTCAATACAGAGACAATAATTCACAAATCAAAATAGTGTACAATGCAATGTTTTTATTGTTGTACTTGTTACAAATACTAAGATAAGTTTGTTAAAGAGTTGTAAATGTTCTATTTGTTTGCATATTCGTTAATTGATTAGTAATTGCGTTTAGTTTCGGTCAACACAAGGTTAGTCACGTTTCAATTGGCTACATCGTATACATTATATTATACATACAATACGCCTGTTATCCATCATGGAGCATAGGTCGCTGACCAGCACTCACTCACCAACCAACTCTGTCTCGCGCATTCGTTTCCAGTTCTTCCCAATTACTATTCATTCTTTTTGTATCGATTTCGAATTCTCGGCGCAGTATTCCTTTGGTGCTGAGAGTTCCAAGTTAGGGCAGTTGGTTGATTTCTGCAGTGTGTCCCATCCACCTCAAGCATATTCTCCTAGTTTCCTCGTCAACTAGAATCTGGTGCGTGCTGTCTCACAGTAGGTCGATGCTGTTAGCATACTACATAGATGCAATCATAGAGTATATTTTTCTTATGTTAAGCTTAACATGCTAATAATAATGTCGATTTTTTGAAAATAAGAACTTTTAGACTTCAAACTATTTAAGTATTATTCATACACAATGATATTGGTGTGTAATTTACTAATTGAATATTTATCTATGATCACTTCGAATTAAGGCTCGCCTTCTATCTTGATTAAACAAACTATTTCATTTTTGAAAGCGCCTTAAAATTCTTTACTTTAAAATAGATATATCTTACATAATTTAGTATACAACTTTATATGATTGTTGAATTACATTTACTTCAGTTAGTAATGATAAATGAAAGTTAAAACGATGGACATATTTGTAAAAAACTGCTCCTGGAGCCCCTCTGGGGCTACTGCCGGTCTCAAGCTCGGATAAAGGAGGATGGTTGAGCATGGTGTTAGCGACCTTATCCAGGAGAAAACCAGCTCTTAAAAAAAATGTTATCCACAAAATCGAACCATTTAAAGCTTATTGCGAACTGTCATCGGAACTCTTTACTTCAAGTGGTGTCCGTCAGGGCTTCCCATTCTTGTTTAACTTTATCATATATATGCTTTTAGAGTTAACATTATCATCGTCCGACTTTTCAGGAGTGGACCTCCTACCAGGAGATACGTTTGCTGACTTAGAATATTCTGATGATATAGTCCTATTCGGTGAAGACGCTAACAAAATGCGGAGTCTTCTGACTGTCCTTAGTAACAATGCAGTCATTTTCGGGATGCAGTTCTCACACTCGAAATGCGAAATTTTGCTCTAGGATTGGCTTGCGTCGGCGCCTGAACCAGTGATAGTGAGCGAAGTAGTCGAACGTGTAGACCGATTCACTTATCTGGGGAGTTTCATCAGAGATGATGGCCTTGTGACTCACTAAATCTCAGTATGGATACAGAAGGCTCGATTGGCTTTTGCCAAGTTGCGTCACCTATGGCGTAGGAGAGATATCCATTTACTAACCGAAGGACGAGTGTATTGCGCAGTAGTTCACTCCGTTCTACCATACGGATGTGAAACATGGCCAGTGAGAGTAAAGGACATTCGTAGGTTACTAGTATTCTTCTACTATCTCTATCACTATTGGATTTGAACTGACAGTAGCGTCTCTGGGCTAAATCAGTATGGTAACCTGAACTGATGTACTTACGTAGGAAGATCTGCGTTGTAACTGACTGACTGAAGCTCTGCCCTAGGGGTTGGAAGGTCATCATTCATAAAGGACTCGACGTCTCATGATAACAGCCAGAGCAACCATTAATTTAGGTAAATTTAATTTTTGAATAACTTCCCAATCAACGTAGGCCCACCAAAAATCGAATAAATCACTATGGCCATCAGACAAATCAGCGGGAACAGAGAACATTCCATTTGACGTGCTGAACGCAGATGTAGAAGCAACTGCAAAGGTACACCACATTCTCTTCAGCAAAACTTGAGATAAAGAACAAATATCAGTAGACTAGAAAGAAGAATACCTGATCAAGATACCAAAGAAACGCAATCTCGGCAGATGTGACAACTAGAGAGGCATCACTCTTTTCTCAATACCAGGCAACCTCTTCAACAGGGTGTTGTCAAACAGAATGAATGACTCCGTAGACGCTCAACTTCGAGATCAGCAGGTTGGATTTCGTAAGGATCGATCATGTATCGACCAAATGGCGACATTATGGATCAATGTAGAACAATCAAATGAATGGAATTCACCACTCTATATCAGCTTCATTGACTACGAGGAAGCATTCTTTAGCGTGGACAGGACAACACTATGGAGGCTTCGACACTACGGCGTACTTGAGAAGATAGTCAACATTATCTGATGAAACTGCAAAATCGTGCACGCAGGACAGCTGACACTCGTTCCAGGTGAAAACCGGTGTCAGGCAAGGTTGCTTACTCTCACCCTTTCTTTTTCTCCTGGTGAATGATGAAGAAGTCAACATCTGGAGGGAAACGTGGTATACAGCCAGGATGCAGCTTGACTATCTAGATTTCATAGATGATCTGGCCCTCCTATCGCACATGCAACAACAAATAAAAGAAATTACGACCAGTGTATCAGCAGCAGATCTCATTATACACAGGCAAAAAACGATATCCTTCCGATACAACACAACATACATCAACCGGATCACACTTGACGGAGAAGCTTTGAAATACGTAAAAACCTTTGCATATCTGAGAAGCGTAATTGACGAGCAACGTAGATCTGATGCAGATGTAAAGGCGTGGATCAGCAAAGCAAAGATTGTATTCCTACAACTGAAGAACATCTGGAACTGGAAACAACTATCAACCAACAGTTAAGTCAGAATTTTCAATACTAATGTCAAGGCAGTTCTACTGTATGGGACAGAAACTTGGAGAACTACGAAAACCATCCTCTCGAAGATACAAATATTCATCAACAATTGCCTACGCAAAATATTTGAGATCCGTTGACCAAACACGATCAGCAAAAATCTACAGTGGGAAAAAACAAACCAGATTCGGTCGGAGGAAGTGAATTGGACACACATTGAGGAAAGCATCCAACTGCGTCACAAGACAAGCCCTCACCTGGAATCCTCAAGGCCGAAGGAAAAGAGCGAGGCCAAGGAACAGATTACTCCGAGAAACGGAGACAGACGTGCAAAGACTGAGCAATAGTCTGGTGAAACTCTAAAGGAAAGTCCTGGACAGAATAGGTTGGATAATGCTGGTCGGCGGCCAATGCTCCATTGAGGGTAACAGGCGTGAATATATATATCTATGGTTCTATTATTAGTTTCCTAAATAAATATTTAGATTTCGACGTATTTAAGAGGTTCGGAATTATCATATTATATTCTGTTAGAAAGATAAGTTGACTTACTTTCAGCATTGAATATCAAGTAAAATACGATTAGGTATTGATGATTTAAACACCCAACTTAAATGAATCCAAAATCTAATATCGACTTATAATTACTTTAGGCATAATATTGTACACATTAGTACATGATAATACTTTGAGTTATCAATGGATTGATCAT